TTTTGTATACACATATGACAAAAATCAACAATTAAGTTCTAAAAGGTAACAGAGATTATTACTAAGATGTGAAGTCTCGTACCTCACGATCCATAAGCATGTCCATTAGCCGAGTTATACCACGGGGGATGGTCAATATATCTTCCTGTAACCTGAAGATGAAGTCAACCAGGGTGCTATTCGAGCTAGATCATATTTAACAATTTTTGGAATTAAACCAAAATTGAAGCTATAAAACTAATACCTCTGTGGCGAATTAGTGAGAAGGGCAGTCAGCATTTGCAGAGTATAATATCGAACATAGAAATCATCCTCTTCCTATGAAAGTACCCAAAGTAAAAATGACTCAGAAAATATTACGATATATATACATAAGCCTAGTCAAGCAAATTTTCAGTGATTTAATTGAGACTATGTCCCACGATATTGGAGAAGAAATTCTTACCAACAAACTTAGGAGAAGAGAGATACATTCTGCTTCTCTAGAAAGTAAATCAGTGTTCAATAAAGCTGGCTGAACTTCATTACTTGGTCCTTTTGCATGATTAATAGGAGTCAATGCACCTACAAGAGTTTCCAGGGCACCACGAACCTGCAGGAAGGTAACTTCCAGTTAACAGTCTTGGGACTTGCTATATTAAAAGCACACGTTACATATCTACGGCAAAAAAAAAAATCATTTTAATGAAAGAAGAGTTGACAGAGAAACAAGGCATGGTAGCAAGACTGTAATAATGAACTGTTTTCATTCAATAAATCCAAAAAAGAACCTTAATAATCATACTGAACCCATTTTCATCAACAAAAGAAATTAGCATAGGCAATACACATATCCCAAGTTCCAACACAGTAACTGATTAGAGTACTGCATTGGTGATCTACAATATCTTAAAAAAAAAATCCTATCAAAGAGAAATAAATGCTAGAGCTGAAGAGAATATCATAGAACCCATGCATGGCTGACTAGAATAAATTTCAGAAAATAAAAGTTTCAGCAATTAATCTAACTGATGTCTGAAGAAGCTCTAAGCTAAACACAAAAAATTCAGCACTTTTATATGAGTCAGGAAAATCCTTTACATATGACAGATGAATATTAAATTTGACCATAATACCAGGTTGGTACATTAAAATATAGTCCTAACTCCTAAAAACTTATGAAATTAATAATTGCACTGTTGGAAAACAAGCTTGGCTATTTCACTTTCATAGTTTTTTTTCCTTTTTTCTCTGTTGTCTTCTTTACAAAATGAAGTTCATAAGATGATCTGAATCCTTTAATAACAAAAGAAACAGCAAAAACACTTTGACAGAAGACATGAGAGGGAAGAAAGTTTGGTCACCATCTCAACATCATCACGTTCTTCTTTTAAGACACTTAGCATTACAGGAAAGCCTGCAAAGATATATTAAACATCTTACATAAGACAAGAGAAAAATAAAATAAAACAATTTGTACGAGAGACAGAATGTACCCATTGCCCCAAATGCTAACTGGAAAGCTTGATTTTCTGAGACAACAGCCTGAAGCTCAGTAATAGCATTTCTCCTGTCCTCTGGTAGTTTACCATTGCTTATCCGGTCAAGCAAGCGCTCAACATATCTATCGATACAAGACACAGAATGCATATGCCACAATGTATGATGAGGTACTCCATATAATAGTTAGATCAAATAACATACAATTAAAAGAAAAGCAATAAAAATTCTACACTGTACGAACTGAAAAGTACAAAATACATCTAATGAAAAACTTTTGAATTCAAAATGCTCAACAATGAAAGAGAAAAAAAAAAGAAAAAGGATAATACTCCATATGACTGCAGGAGATCAATGCACAGCAGTACTCCTGCACTCTTTCACCAATATGTTAAAACACAAGAACATTTTTCACAATGACATTGGAGAATATATTTTGAGAGAAATAAGAATCATAATTGCACAAGTGTGTATTATGCTTGTGAGCAACCTTATCATAGAATATTCCAGAAGTCAGTAAAGTGACATTTTGAACATTTCAAGATTCATATATTTGGATTTTGGTGTGCATAAAAACAGTATGGAATACCCAATGAGTCCATATTGCACTCAAGTAATCAACAAGATGGAAGAAGATTACTCACACAGCTGTACATGTTCCTTATATAACTATGAAAACCCAGTAAAAAGAAGACTTGAATAAAATTCAGTTAAATGACTACATAAAAAATGCCATTAAAAAATTTTTAATGGAAAGGAAAATATTTTTCAGGACCCATTGCTCTACAGCAGAAGTTAATAAGAAAGGGAATGAACAGAGCATGAAACTCGTACAAAACCTCCAATTACATTCCAGGTCACAGAAGAAACTTTGAAAGAGACAAGCAGCAATGTGTAAAACATATCAAAAAAATCTTAATAACATTGGGAGGGGGGGCATTATACGGTACCTATCTTCATTTGAGGAGTTCTCGTTGCCAAAAACAAGCCCAACAACTCCCTGCACAATAATTGATTGATTAATTAACATTAATTAATTAACTTCTAAACAAGAATAAATTACGATAGTCTCGAGTAGCTCACTGCCAAACATATGCACTGAAACTAAGGTAATTATCTCGAACAAGAAAAATTACAAAATTAATTTCAAAATACTACTCAAGGTCAAATTATACCTTGTAACCAGACATCAAATCCATTTTCATAGATCACAGAGTAGTTCAGAATCCCTGAAACCAGAAAAACAAATGACAAACCAACCAAATCTGATTCAATTCACAATGATCATAATCGAAATACAATTCCATCATTGAAGATTGAGGAATTTATCAGAATTCATAACCCTAAAAAAGAAGAAAATGTACCGAAAGTGAGAATAAGCGATTTGTTTGACGTGTTTGTGTCTTCAACTTCAAATCAAATGGTTACTGCCAAAGACACTTAGCATTGCAAGTCACATCACCCAAACTTCACACAGATACACTCAGTGATGATTTAGATTTCGGATTGGGCCACTTCTGCAAAATAAGCCCATGGGCTCCACATGATTGAAGTCCTTTCGAAGTACCAAACAACCTGGGCTACAATCCACCAAAAACATGGGCCAAGCATAATGTAGGCCATCTTTGAATGATCCAGCCTATCTATTTATCTATATTTATAAATAACACTAAATTTATTTCATAATTTTTTTTCAAAATTTAAAGTTTTTAAAAAACATTTCTAATATAAGTAGCATTACGTTGTGTTATGTCATTAACTTATCATTTATTTCATGTATATATTTTTTAACTTTTCATATTTTTTATCTTTTAAATTTTAATTTGTTTTCATTTTCATATGTTGGGATTTTTGAATAAACTGTAACATTGCATTTTTAAATTTAAAATATAAAATAATTAATAGATGGATTTAGGTATCATTATTATTTTATGATAAAAAAATAATATAGACCCATTTGCGTATGGTCGATCTATTTAACAATAATTATTGTGTTCAAATTTTATTGTGTGAGATTTTATTGGGTAAATGATAGTCACGAATCATGAACAAAAATTATTCTTAGGCATTTTAGGTTTAGGGACATCTTGTGATAATAACCTAGAAAAAAAACTTAAATAGAAAATTCTTGCTTGCCCTAGTGGTAAATTATATTTTAATCTTATTAATTACAATAAAAAGGCCAAAAAAAGTAAAATTATAATTATTATCAATTTAAAGTGAATTAAATTTATAAGATACTTTAATTTATAAAAATAAAATATTTTTTCTTACTTTACATATGTACACAATTTAATACAATTTAGTTCATGAATAAAAATATATACAACTTTTATTTTATTAATTTATGTTTGGGAAAATATTCCATCTCGATGCTTCAACTCATCCAAATGAGAAGGGATGCCCTTTCAATTGTTCCAAATTCCAAATCTTGTAATTTTGAGGAGAATATTAGGTTTGGCTTTTGGGTTTAATAAAACCATATATGCCACTTTGAGAATATACAAATGATTTATTAATTTTGTACCTTTTTAGTCAATAAAAAGTTGAGACAATGTTAGTTAAGGCCTTGAAGGTTGAAGGGGCTTAAGGTAAGACACTTTCTTCTCTGCATCACTTGCCAACTTTAAATGCATGGTCTTTCTGACCACTACCATATGTTTCAAATTTTGCCAAGATTTTGTATTCTATTGCATGGGACTATGTATACGCAAACTTGCACAAGTAGGAATTATATTAAGGCAAAATTTAACGTGAATGTTTTTTAAGTATTTGTGTAATTATTTGATTAGAATTAAAATTTTGTGATCTATAGTATCCTAAAGATCAAAGTTACAAGTCAATATTATTTGTTACATTGTATTTTTAATTTTATTTAGAGAATAATATTAAAAATATATGGCATAAACCACTTAAATTTCATCTATTAAATTAACACAGGTACCATATTTTAAGAAATAAATCATACATTAGTTTTATGAAAAAGAAATAAAACGTATATTTATTATTTTCCAATATACTGAGATTTATTCTCTTCAAGAAACAAAGAGTCATTCACCTATTAAATTAACACAAACGCCATAATCTAAGAAACAGATCGTATAGTAGTTTTTCAAATAATCATACACCATACTAAGATTTATTCTCTTCAAGAAGCAACGGGACATTCACATGCAAAAGTGTGTTTTGTCTGTTTTAAAAATAATAAAAAGGAATGATATTTTTAAGGTATCAATTATGAAATGAAAGGTAAAATATTCCTATAAAAAAGGTAATATTTATTACCACTAAACTAATATACTTTTGTCGTTTTTATAATTTTTTTAGTTAATACCGTTAAGACAATCATCAAATTGAACCTTAAAAACATAAATATTTTAATGTTGTTTTGTCATAGAAAGATTCTGTCTTTTGATCCCTGCCCCTATACATACCTTTGTCTCTGTAATTCTAGGAAGAGACAAAAATAAATGAAAGATACAAACGGCTATTAATATAAGTGACGTTATAATCCAAAGCTGAGGCTGGGAAACTCATTGTGACACACAAACAAAGCATAGCAACCAAGGCCTCAAAGAAAGATTGAATAGCAACTTGACCCTTAATTTATTTTCACTGCAATTTTGGTCCTTTGGTGTTGAGGGGTTTAATTATTGGTTCATAGTTTTTATAGTAGAAGCAGAGAGAGAACCACAACCATTCAACCACCACTAGCTGTTGTTGCTCTTCACCATGTCTGAGGGATATTACAATTCCAAGAAGACTGATGACATCTGTGGAGATGTTTGTAGCCAGGTACTCTCTTTTTCTCTACTTTTCCAATTGGGTTTTTCTCAAAGTCTAAATTTTGGGTGTTCTTTTGTTAGTCTGGGTGAAGTTGAAATATATTGGATTTTATCATTCTATTCTATGTTAAATTTATTGAACTTAATTGTATTGGTAACTTTTCAGTGCTTCTTTTATTTTATTCCTCCTTGTTTCCCTTGCATGCCACTCAAATGTGTATTGAGATATCAAATTTAGTTAATTTTTTTTATACAATTTCTCTGTGGTTCCAGTTTGTCAAACAAGTTTGAATTGAAGGTAGGTTTTATGTCTTACATTTGAATTATGGATTGAAGTCAACTTTTAATGCTTGGTTCTTTTACCCTTTGTGTCTCTCTCTCAAAAGACCCTTTTGGTTTTCATGTTATGTGTTCTATCATTTGTTAATTCCATCTCCGGATTTTGCCCAAATCATATTTGTTAATTCCAGTTTGTTGCTTTTGAACTACTGCCCTGCCATATATTTGCCAAACATGTGCTTGTGAGGGACTGCGTAATACAATTTGTGCAGGCAAGCATGTGATTGTGATTGTGAGGTTTTTTATTATTGAATTATCCATGCAACTTAGAGAGATTTTGTTTTCTATGCAGCAGGGAACTCGTGCAGTGTTGAGCATATCAAGGCTAAGATGCATTTTGCGAGGGTTGGACTTCAAGAGCTACATATTTTTGTTTGTGGTTGTTCCAATGGGAATCGTCTGTCTGTATTTTCATGGGCAGAAAATTTCATACTTTCTGAGACCCCTTTGGGAATCTCCTCCAAAGCCCTTCTATGAAATCCCTCACTATTATCATGAGAATGTATCAATGCAGACTTTATGCAGACTTCATGGTTGGAGAATTCGTGAATCACCGAGACGAGTCTTTGATGCTGTTCTGTTTAGTAATGAAGTTGACATCCTTACCATTCGTTGGAAAGAAATGTATCCTTATGTGACACGTTATGTAATCCTCGAATCAAACTCAACATTTACAGGATTGCCCAAACCATTGATTTTTGCAGGTAATAGGGACAATTTTAGGTTTGTTGAGTCTAGATTGACATATGGAGTGATTGGGGGAAGATTTAAGAAAGGTGAGAATCCTTTTGTTGAAGAGGCATACCAAAGAGTTGCCTTGGACAGGCTTCTTAAGATAGCAGGAATAGAAGATGATGATCTCTTGATAATGTCTGATGTTGATGAGATTCCTAGTGCTCACACAATAAACCTCTTGAGGTGGTGCAATGGCATCCCTTCTGTTCTTCATCTTCAAATGAGGAACTACTTGTACTCTTTTGAGTTCTTTCTAGACAACCAAAGTTGGAGAGCATCAGTTCATAAATACCAAACCGGCAAGACTTGTTATGCACACTATAGACAAGCTGATGTCGTGTTGTCAGATGCTGGCTGGCATTGTAGCTTCTGTTTTCGCCATATAAGTGATTTTGTATTCAAGATGAAAGCTTACAGCCACAATGATAGGGTGAGGTTCGCTCATTACTTGAACCGTAACTGGATTCAGGATGTGATATGCAAAGGAGCTGACCTGTTTGACATGCTTCCTGAAGAGTATACATTTAAGGAGATTATTGGGAAGATGGGACCCATTCCTCATTCTTACTCAGCTGTTCATCTTCCATCATATTTGTTGAACAATGCTGAGAAATACAAATACTTGTTGCCTGGTAACTGCAGAAGAGAAAGTAGCTGAACATTTAGAATATGAGATCCACTGACATTGTGTGTAACAACAAAAGGAGCAGTATTGAATGACTTATATCCATGGTGTGGTTATCATGGGACAGATACACCTTTACACTAAGCAAATGCAGGCCATTCTTTGGAGATATGCACAAATGAGGGGGCTTGTTGTTAGGGAAATATTGTTGCAACTTTTTGGCAAGCTTTTGTACCTTTTCTTAGGATATGTATAAATAACCCTACATGTCTAATATGGTTGCAAGACATTCCCAACCTTTTCTCGTGGGAATTTGGATTTCTTGGTCTAAGTTATACACATATTCTAACCACTTAGGTTGTTAAATGACTCATGTCAAGTTTAAATTAATTCTATAATTCAATTTTGATTCATTTCTCTAGTTTGTTTCTAAGGACAAGAAGTGATATTGTGGTTCCATGCTTGTTAGATTTCGGAACTTCAATCTTTTAATTCTCAATATAAATTCAATTGGTCATGATGATTTTGTCTTCGTCCAACACTTTTCATTGTGCACTCAAAGTCATCCAAAGAAGATAAATGGACACGGGAACAAAAACTTTTTGCATAAATATTTTTCGTAGCTGTTTGTTTTTCTTTTTCTGTTTTTGTAAAATGGCTATTTTATTATAAGTGGACTCTATTGACTTGGTCGAGCTGTGCCAATGGTTGGATCTTTTTCCTTGGAAATTGACCCCTTTATTTATGTTTTTCATTTTGAAAGACTTGGAGGAACTAAAAACTTGTGGCTTTGCTTTGAGGATTAATCTTGGACCCCACCATCCTAGCCTAACGAGCACGTCTTAAAAATTAGATTCCCACTAAGTGGAGTCTTTTTTCAACAATCAAATTCATTGTGTATTTGACTCTTCAATGTTTTTCTAAGCAGTTTTGTTATATCTTCTTCTTTGTTTAGGTCTTATTTTATAAAGTAAACATTAAATAAAAGCATAAAATTTATTTGTTTCCTATATCTTGTGATTTGTTGTTGCATATTGCTGAGCCAGTCATTTTTGCTAAACATGGTGCTTGTTGGAGGCATTTTAACACTTGGCCTTACTGCTTTCTCTATAGTATGTGCCGGCCAAGTCAGAATCTTTGGCCGATTATTTTTAGAAATGCAAAGAAGATATTCCTAGAAACAGCACAACAGCTTCGTGGCTTCCATTTCTATGCTATATTTTGGATTTACCGAGTAAAGGGTATCTTAGCCCCCCACCTAAGTTTCTATTTTTGGAATGCAATGAATTTGCTGTTTCTGAGTTTGTCATTTCGAAATCTTGCATTTTGATTTGTATGCATTTTAACTATAGAATTTCTATAACCTCTCAGATGTCTCTTAAGAAATTAATATAATTTATTGCCCCTTTTTTTGTACCAAGCATAAAAAAAAAATCATGATTAAATTTAATTATTGAATTCCAAAAATGATTATATTCTAATTTTTAATCGTTTTACCCTTTACATTTTTTGGGTACTCACCCTCCCCTTTACATTTCATTAAATCGTTCTTCATCAAAGATAAATCTACCATTTATGGTTCATCCCTTTTTTATTATAATTTTGTAGTTGAGTGATACACCATATGCTTGGAAAATGTTGTGTTTGACTTCAAACTAAGGTATTAAAAGAAGTTAAAAACACAGAAAAGGGATTCATGCATTTGAGCTTGGTATGTTTTCCACCGCCCAAATTGATTATGGTCGACCCAAAAGCGTTAACGCAAGTCCCCTATCTCAATCTTAATCTGTATGTGTATCTAAACGTGACATTGTTTTCAATCAGTGAATGAGTCAACGGCCTTCTATCATCCTACGTGTGGACCATTATCAGTGCCTTACAGACATCTAGATTTTTCTTTCCTTCTTCCTCGAAATTTCTGTGGTTGAAAATTATATTGTTAAAAAAATATCATTGTTGGGCATATTTTGTTTTACACCAAAATCAATTTCACAACCTGTAATATACCTCTCAAAATAATTTTTTTTGACTAAAATTAATTTAGGCACATATAAATTTCGTTCAACAATTCAAAATTATTTCTCTTAAAATCTAAAAGTCATTTACCGCGATTTCTGAAACGGAAAACTTTTCTAGAGCTGATCATTGGCTAGACTTGATGGCTTTATATCTGCAGCACATGATTATTGCGTTGCTTCAGTGTGACAAGTACATTCTTATGATACAAAATCATAGCTTATTTAATAATTTAGTTTATTTTTTAAGCTTAAATAAGATTCTGGTCTCCAATTTGTAGAATTAAATTGGAAAAAAATAAAAAAGTAGACCAAATGGGAAAAAATCGAATTTTGGGTAGACGAAAATCTTGTTTAACCAAATAAATATTTCTTCGAGCTTCTAGATGGAACAGTAGACGCATTCCTATTCTTTGAGGAATTAAGAGCTGTGGTTGGGTGTAACATAATTCAAAAACACGGAATAGTATAAGTGCAGAGCACTTGTCCAAAAATCTAGTATACTGCGAGTTTCAAATTGTTTCAAAATTTAATTACACTTTCCTTTGGCACAACAAAAAATAATTACTCTAACATCCATGATCCATATTAAGTTATTCTGATGCTAAGTGTAATATTACCACAAAATTGTGAGTTGAAAGAATCGTGAACTTGATCAATCATCAGCACTCAATTCGAACGGCACCACTCTCAGACTTAATGAACTTGGGCTTCCTTACGACTTGTTCCAAGCACTGGATGACGTCTCCAATCTGGAAGTCACACCAATCATTGATTACTAGTCCACACTCATTTCCCTTCTTCACAGAATCCACATCCTGCTTCTCACGCTTAAGAGATGTACAGAGTCCTTCAAACACAACTTCCCCACTCCTCAGAAGCCTCATGGTTGCTGACCTGGTAACAAAACCATCAATAACCCGACAACCAGCTATTTTCACATCAGGTCCCTTGGACTTGCTCCCTTTGATTTCAAAGATGTTCAGCACTTCTGCCTCCCCAGCAACCTGGGTCTCAGAAGTTCCAGGCGCCTTCTCTATTATCAAATTGCCTATGTCCTCCAAGAGGTGGTAAATCACACGGTGCAGAATTATCTATAACCAAACCGAGTGGATATCAAAATGAAATCAAAGTTTCCTGTCCCAGAATTGATAGCATAATCACGATATAGTTAAATATGAACATAAGCTTGAAAGTTATTAGTAATACCTTGACACTCGCCCGAGTTGCTGCCTGACTAAGTGCAGTAGGTGGACTTTTGACATTGAATCCAACTATGCAAGCACCACAAGCCTGTGCTAAGTCCACATCAGATCGAGAAACAGGCCCAACACCAACATGGACAACATTCACAAAAACCTAGCAGTAAAATTACAGAATGTTTAGCAACAAATAATTAATACCAGTAAAGTAACACTGTAAAATTAACAGTTCATGACAGCCATAGCATTTTAGGTTTCACAGAGCTTACTCGAGCATGTATGCCACACCCAGTAATCACTAAAAGTCTAAAAGCATACCATTCCCAATTGTCCGAGATATATAGTGAATGATCAACTGGAACTGATTAGAAATATATTTTTCTAATACTGATTACACAAGTAAATACCTTTTTCACATGCCATTTTCATCATGGCACCGTTATAAATCTTTTAATAAATGGATTACATGATTGCATCCATATTACTACAATATCAAGTAATCAAAAATTTCTTAGTTGTAAAGAAACATTGCACCCAAAACCTTAATCAATTAGACACATGCACATATGGTTTTAATTCATAGCCCTGACACCACTGTTTACTCAAAAGCCATTTGAGTTCAAAATATGGGCGTTTGGACAGAGCACAAACCCAAGTTACCACGTGATAAATTTAGATCATTAGGATTTAGGAAAAAGAAAACAGCCAGAATTCAACTCCTAAGACCAAATCACTTGATCAAAAAGGCTCCGAGACCAAGAGGGTAAAAGGTTAAACTCTTAGGATTCATGCCCATCAATGGTTTTTTAATATATACTATCTCTGGACAAAATTGTTTTCCTCACCCTCACTTCCTGTGGGCAAGCATGCATGTGTATGCAAAAAGAGAAGTTTATTGCTATAATCTTAACATACCTGAGAACTATTTAAAGTTCTCAATGCATCAGTGACAGCTTGAACTGTTCCCTGAACATCTGCTTTTACTATTAGTGGCATTTCAACTATCTGTGGAACCTCTTCGTTATCATCTGAATTAGTTCGCTTGTCCTGTATCATCTTACTCCTAAGCCTATTCTCTTCATATTTCCTTTGCCTACCAGAACTAAGCATTCTTGCTCGCTCCTCAGAATGAACAACAATAACATCATCACCAGCCATTGGCAGTCCACGAAGCCCTTCAATCTCAACAGGCATAGCAGGTGTTGCTTGTTGGGTTAACCTTCCTGCCATATCTTTAATGGCCCTTATTCTTCCCCACTGTGAGCCCACAACCACATGTTGACCACAAACTAGAGTCCCTGCCTTCACTATAGTAGTTACCAATGGACCCCGTCCTTTGTCAAGTCTTGCTTCCACCACATATGCTTGAGCAGGCCCATCAATTCTTGCTTTAAGATCCATCATATCAGCCTGAAGTAGTAAAGCTTCCTCTAGGTTATCCAGTCCAGTTTTCTTAATTGCTGAAACTTCAACAACCTGAACATCCCCACCCATCTCCTCCAGCACCAAGCCCTCTGAAGCAAGCTGCAGTTTTACTCTTTCTGGATTAGCACCTGGTTTATCACATTTATTAATTGCAACCACAATTGGTACATTAGCTGCTTTTGCATGGGATATGGCTTCCAGTGTTTGAGGCATAACACCATCATCTGCAGCGACAACAAGCACTACTATATCTGTAACTGCTGCACCTCTTGCCCGCATTGCACTAAATGCAGCATGACCAGGAGTATCAAGAAATGTGGTTGATGCTCCTGATGGCATGACCACCACAAAGGCACCTAGATGTTGAGTTATGCCACCAGCCTCCCTGGCTGCTACTGATGTTTGACGCAAGGCATCAAGAAGAGAAGTTTTACCATGATCAACATGACCCATCACTGTTACAACTGCAGGACGTGGTACAATTTCTGTGCCTTCAGCCGAGTGTAGCCTCTTGACATTTACGCCAACTTCCTGCAGCACCACTTAACCAATTAAGTGAAAAAAATAACAACTATGCCTTTCTCCACTAAGCTCAGTCAAAAACCAATTAATCAAAATGTCTCTTTCAATAATTTCATAAGTGAAAAAAATAACAGCCAGAAACAAAATACTGAAATAGTGCATCATGTGGCAAATTCAGAGAAAAAAGGAGTGAAATGTGAAGCTTTTGAGGCCATGACCCAGAATAATGCAAACAAATAAAATTTGTAAGAATATTTTAGTATAATGCTTCAACAATGGTTTTAATTTTTGAATAAAATATTTATCAAAACCTACCTAGCAATAGTTTAGGCCTAGTTTCTTTAATTACTATCCCTCCCCCTACTTTCTATGCATGCGTCTAAAAAGGGTGGGGGGGGGGGGGTTGCACAAGAGAGCCTAACGCCAACTAATTTCAGGAAAAAACACTTCATCAAGGACCATTCAACTCTAGCAGATCCATCAAAACTTCATAATAAGGAAGGCTTGTAGATTTTATTTCAAACCACTAAAAAATTATTACAGCTAACTTTACATGCCATACATTGCAAGTGAATAATAAGTAAAATATTAGAGCTATTTAACTTACTCCTAAGTCCTAACATGTCATTTACAAATGACAAAGACTGACAAACAAGTATTGGGATCAAAAGTACTAGTTTCTAATATTCACTGGTTTAGCATCATCTGTGACTAATGAGGAAATACCATTGCGGCAAGTTCTGCAATATCCATGCCGAGAGGCTCAAACTCTGATTCAACCTTTTCACCAACATTCGTGAGGATATCCTGCAAAGAAGATACTGATCTTCCGGTGCGCTTTGCCAGTTCAACAAGGGTCATGCCTTCAAATATTTCTATGGTTTTATCAGGATTAGATTTGGTAGCTGTGACATTACGAGGGATATATGGAGCTTCAACGGGTGGCTGGTTTCTACTGTCCCTTCTCACATATTTCTCCTTCTTTGGAGTCTTCAAACCAAATGGTGCATCATTCCTTGCCCAAACTTGTGAGCTACCATGGAAGCACCTACAGAAGTAAAAAAAAAAAACACCTTACCGTTATGCCTTTTCCTTTTCAGTTAATTGACTTTTACATTCATGCAAATACTAAATCTTCAGGCAGCTCAAATTTTCAACTAATGCCACTTCTTTCTTCCAAGTACAGTCAAACAAATTTTAGCTTTGCCATACTCACCTACAGCTGAAGCCTGAAGAGGCTTAATACAAATTTGGATTATGCATACTAGGAATATTAGGATATTACTAAACACAGCACAATCTTTCATAGCCCAAAACCTCCAAGTCTAGACCCCATTTAAAACTCAACCGTTAATGCTAGTCCTGTGACTACTTATTACATAGAAAACACTTTAAAATAAAAATAACACAGATGAAAGTAAGAACATAAAAACCAGTGAGAAAGAGGTCAATCCAGCACCAACTGAGCAAAGATCAAAAAAGTGTTTCCCTACCACTCATTAATTATGTCAAATCTCAATCCAAGATCAATGAAGTAAATTTCCCCATCTCTAATCAATCTCACAGACATCACAATCTATAAAATCAGTTATCATTATAGCAAGTAATAACACCTACATATAATGGAAACACAAAAGAACAAAACCCATCTTATCACCAATGCAGTACTACTATCGATAGTTTTGATAAATTTTTAGCTCTTAAATATGCCCTCATACCACTGTGCACAATAATGTGCATATTTGGAAGTTAAACTCACTCCTAATCCTATTCACCATGCATATGACCAATGATGATGCTACCATCCTTATATCACCCAAACAGTAATGTTATCAATGGTTCCTTTTGAACTTGAAAATTTGAATAATATTTTACCGTATTGCACATTCTTTAGTCTCACTGCCATAACAAGCCTGTTCTCGAGATGAGTGGTTGACAAAATCTGCTTCATCCAGTTCAAAGAGTTTGTGAGTAACTGAGTATATAACATATAAGTGCAAGAAATACAACATTAGCAGCATAAAGCAGGTAAATTACCTAGAATGCATCTTGCCGATGCATAAACAGATTGTGAGGCAAAGCTAGATGCAAAATTTGACCCTGCCACACGCCTAAATGGTGTTGTAGTCAAAGCTCTGGTAAAATTCATATATATTCTCTGCATTCAAGTAGTAAAAAAAAAGATTATCAGCAACAGAAGGAGCTATATGACATAATAACTTTTACAGAAAAGTCCAATCACCTGCAAACTGGATAAGAGACACTAGCAACACACTCATTTAAACACACTCTTTATTATTGATTGAAAAAATTATTACGAAACACAAAAGTTACGTAGGTTCCACTCCCAATTTAATGAATCCTGCTCATGATTTCGTGATTCCTAATAAATTTCAGTCAACAATTGAAAGTATTTTAGAAAAGAGTGAGTTGCTAGCACTCCTAAATTGGATGATTATCATATTTGATGCATTTTTATTTATGAAAAGAACATATAAAATCTGCTTATAAATAGTCAACTCACCCTCTTTCCAAGCCCATGCCACGCCATTCATAACCATAAAACTGTGTAAAATTAGACAAAAAAAACAATTTAGTTACGAAATGCTAGACAGGGAAAGTAGATGGAAGTAGTTGGGATCTCATAAATGATGGATTTATTCATATGTCACCAATAACCACAAAAATCACTCCAATATTTCAGACTGTATGAGTTGAAGATATCTCGTCGTCTCTCAAACTCCAGCCACCAAGGAGTTTATGAATTTTATGATGATTATCAGAGAAGACGAAACACAAAGCAACAACAACAATAATATCAATACAAAGAGGACCAAAAGCCAACACACATTATAGATTTTTCACATAACTGAAATTTCAGAGTTTCTAAATGTGACTTGGGAAATCAAGAATTTGATGAGCGCATCAGTGGAAATCAAAATCACTACTAAACTTTTAAAATGACAGCTACAGCTGAAACAGACAGCAGTCAAATTGCATTTAGTAAATTTAACTAATAAAAAAAAACTTCCGACTAAATGTTGTAATTTAACATATTCTAGTACCCTTTGCAATACCTCAGTCATTGGACAACACAACATAAGCATAAGAAATGCAAGGGAAGCCAATATGTTTATCAGTTGTAAATTGTAGGAGGCAAACTCACTCATTCATAAAGAAGCTGCAGCTAGGGTGAGAGCTTAACAGCAATACGAGAAATAGAAAACTAGGAGTAACAAGAGGGCGACTAGAATAATTTTGAATTGTAATGGATCAACCGAAATTGAAGTATTGATCGATAAAAAAAATCGATTTAAAAAAGAGAGAGAAAAAACATCCTTTAGTGATCTAATGAATGGATTCACAGATATCTAATCCACCATTCACCAACTAAACAATTTTACATGAGGAATATTCAATGCACCCAACCAATGTTGTCAAGATCGGGATCTTACCTAGGATCGGAGGAGAGGTAAAAAATCGTAAATCATGGGAAATTTATATTAGAAGGTATATTTATAACAAGACAAAAATTTCTCTCTACTGCCAAATGCGAAACAAAACTGAAAGAGAGAGAATACCCACACAGAAACACCAAAACAGAAAAGGCAAACAGCAGAAGCATGCCCAGAGAGTGTAGACTACCCACGCAGAGACACCAATGATGGCACGGTTAAATATAAAGAGAATGGAATGATGGGTGTTAAGGAAGAGAGGCAAAATCGAAGGATGGGTGTAGCGTCGTGAAAGAGAAACAAAATGGCAAGATGGCTGTCGCAGAGAGAAAATTGAAGGATGGCTGTCGCAGATAGAAAATTGGTCGCGCGCGCATGAGAAGAGGAGAAAGATTGGGGAAAAAGATAGATTTTTTTCAAATCAGGTCAAAAAAACCCGATCCAGAAACCCAAACCCCCGGAAGCCCAACCCGCAAAGCCCAACCAGAACTGACCCAAAAAAAGATCGAGATTTCCTCCGATCTTTCACATATGCGATCCAAGCCCGATCAAGATCGTCCATGCGGTTTAAGATCGTAAAATCGTACGATCACGCGATTTAAATCGCGATTTTAACAACATTGCACCCAACCCTTACCAATAATATTAGTTCAGCATTTTTAACGTGTGCAACATTGCACATTATAAGAAATTAACAAATAATAAGTTTCCATTAGAAATTGTAACGTTTAATATAATGAAACCATAAGTCAAAAAAGGAGGGAGGAAACCAGTATTTAAAGCATAGGGTACACGATTAATGACAAATTTCAATGAGACAAGCCTAGTTCGTTGCAAATAAAGGTGTAAATTACAGTCAGTTATTTAAACGTCATTTTGAAGGTAATTATTATAAAATTTAATGTTTATAATATTAATAAGTTGATAATGTAAAAAAATATACATTATTTTTGGATGCTTTGTTGATAAAGGAGGAAAACATCTGTTTATGTTAATAATGAATTTAGGAAATTTACTTTCTAATTGGAGTTGAGGAATTCAAGAGGGAAGAACTCTAGGTTGACTAGTGAACGTGGATGGACTAGTTGAGTTTAATTATAGGACAACTTGATGTTTTGTGGCTCTTGCAGGGTCGTTTGTATTCTTTCCTCTTCTGCAAAATAGGTATGCTAGCTTGTTGTGCTAAAGAAGATATACTAATATGAACTCAATCCTATTTAGTTTTTCCCTCAATGAATGAAGAATATTTAGTTTGTTAATTTTCAATCAGATTAGTTGGATGAAATAGGGGTATAACAGGTTCAAATGGAATGAGAACATTTTAAAAATTGAGGTAAAGTTGAAGAAGGCCAGCTAACCTTGTTCAATTTGAGTAAATTCTTGAGTTGAGATAATAAGTAACTTCACAGTTCAAACCCTGCAATATTTTGAAAGAAAAAGGAAATAAGAGGGTGAGAAATTAAACACAATCAAATACAAGGGATGATTACAAGCATTAAAATTTGACAAATTTACAATTCTGGAAGGAACTTGTTAATTTATTTTTGGCTAAACTTTGGTTTTAAAACAATTAGCAACAACAAAACATGGTACGACCCCAATTCTTCATTCTCCCTTAAATTCAATTTTCCCTTTCATGTGTTAAAATTGAACTTCAGCTAGCCGACACTAGTGTTTCTCATTCTTGGCATGCTTGTTTTTAATATATTGCATAGAATATAATCTTGAATAGTAATATCTACATTAAATTTTAAAGTTATATGTTAATTAAGTGTTCTTCTGCAATTAATTTTAACTATCCACAAAACTATAGCTAAAAGAACAATTTAACCTACTATAATGAACAAAAAGTAAAGACATAGAAAAATATGACATATTCATGAGATCGAGGCCGTACTCATGCACTCTTTTACCACAGTATTAAAACACACCTTTTTCACAATAACATTGAAGAGTATATTTTGAGAGAAATAAGAAGAATCATAATTACACAAGTGTGTATTATGCTTGTGATGTGAGCAACCTTTTCATAGAATATGCCAAATGTCAGTAAAGTGACATTTTGAACATTGCAAGATTCATTTATTTGGATTTTAGGGTGCATACAAATAGTATGAAATGCCTAAGAGTCCAAAAAAGTAAAGTGAAATTCTTCAGAACCCATTGCTTAACTTGCTACACAGCAGAAGTCAGTAAAAAAAGGAATGAACAGGACATGACACTCGTACAAAATCTCCAATTACATTTGTTCCAGGTCACAGAAGAACCATTGAAAGAAACAAGCAGTGGTTTGTAAAACATATCAAAAGAATCTCAATAACACTGGGGGAGGGGGGCAGGCATTATACTTATCTTTATTTGAGGAATTCTCGTTGCCAAAAACAAGCCCAATAACTACCTGCACAATATTTGATTAATCAAGCAATTACTTAATTTATTCATAAACAATAATAAATCACGATAGTCTCGAGTAGCTCTCTACTAAATGAATGCACTGAAACTAAGATAATTAACTCGAACTAAAAAATCTACTAAATTAATTTCAAAATTATACCTTGGAACCAGACATAAAATCCATTTCATAGGCCACATAGTACCTTATAATTCCTGAAACCAAAAAAAGAAAAACCAACCAAATCTGATTCAATTCACAATGACCATAATCGAAATACAACTCCATCATTGAAGATTTTATCGGAATTCAGAACCCTAAAAAAGAAGAATAAGTACCGGATGTTGACGTGTCAGTGTCTTCAACGTAAAATCAAATGATTTATTTTTTGCATCAATATCCGCAGACACTTCACGCAGATACAGTAAGTGGCAATTTAGATTTCAGATTGGGCTACTTTTGGAAAATAAGCCCTTGGTTGAAACAATATATAGGCTTTTCCATGCTACAACTACTATACAAGTACAAGACAATCTTTTGGACTGCTCATAATTTAGGCCCTATAGTTGAAACGAAGACTCTGATTATTTCTCCTATTAAAAAAAAAGCACCATCTTTGATTGAGTCATGCCTATCTATTTATCTATATTTATATACAAAACTAAAAAATTTTTCTAAAATCATTTCATAGCATTTTTTCAAAATTTATAATTTTTAAAATAAATTAATTTAATTGTTTTATTTAATGTTATGTCATTAAATAAATAAATTAAATTATTTCTATAAACTTAGGCAGAGCAAATAAAAATATGAAAGGAATAAAAACTCAAGCAGATGAATTAAATTTAGTATATTATTACAAAATCTAAGTTAGAAAAGTAAAAGAAACTCTTAAGAGGATAGATAATGATAAAGTAGTCATACCTATTTAAAAAGTTTTTAAAAAATTAATGATAAAAAATATTTCAAAGAATTTGACTTATAGAACTCAATTACAATTTTTTTTAAAGTGTGCGAATCAAATTTAAAATAAAAGACACGTATAAGCACCAAATTCATGTTTTAACCTAAAATTTATTTGTAAAAAAAAATATTTTAAAAATTTAATTCTAAAAAAGCAATTTATAAATTATTTTCAATATTACTCTATCCCTTACATAAAACTGCTACCTCCTTTCACTTTATCTCTTATTTTATATTTCTCATATAAATACTCAATTAATATTAAATAAAATAAGCATTATTTAATTAAATAGTTGATAATAAATAAATTAGATAAATAATACTTAATATTAATACAATATCAATAAAATATTACATATCATTTAATCATTTAACACGTTAATTAAATATACAATGAATTTTATCAAATAACTATGATTCAATCAAATAGTTATAAATTACTAATGTTTTAACTATTTAAAAAAAAATTGTTTGTGTTTAACAATGTGGCTTTAAAAGATCTAAATGCTTGAGGTTGACAAAAAGGCATGCTTATTATTGCTCGTTGATCCATTTAGCAAGACTAACTTGTGATGTGATTAACGAGTGTGACTTAATACAAATTGTTCAATCGTTATATGGGTACGTACATTAGAAATAAATAAACTACACTTCTCTTTCAATTCTAATTGATTAAATTCAATTCATTCACTATAATAAAAATGTCATAGGAACAACTTTCTTTTGCATATGGTTACTGTCTGAGGCTTCAAACTCCACCAGGAACATGCCATGTCAATGACTAGTAAGTAGGCCAGTAATAACTTAAGAAGTTGTGTAACATTATAGTGAGAGGAAGCACCATGTATTAGGCTTCATTTCATGCTTTCAATTGAACCAATTATTTGTTCAAACTGTGACAAAAAAAAAAACCACAATGTATTGTGATCTTGCTGTTACTGGGCTAGTCACTATCCCAAGCCTCATCTGTTTCTTTCACTGTTCTCTTCTTATGGGTATCACTTTTGACCACATCTCTATTTTGACTTGAAGGGTAGTCCCCATCATTTCTAGTATCTCTCCTATCGTTATCTCTTGATTCTCTGGAGTACTTCTCAGCATCTGAAGGCCAAAGCCAGTTTTCTGAACCACTGAATGCATCTATGGATTCAGAATCAATTTTGCCAACTACTTCTTGCTTACTTCTCACACTTTTTGGTGTATCAAAACTACTATGATATTGAGCAGAGTCATCAACCTTACCCTCATGATCCCTCACACCATTCATTTTGCCTCTCTTTGTTTGATATGTGTACTCGTCATCACTGCTGCTGCTCTTGTAGTTATCACTGAACTTTCGCATATGTCCTGAGTCATTCTCTTCTTCATCAGATTCCCACATTGCATTTTCAACATCACTAAACATACCTTCTGATTCAGAATCTTCTATGGCCATATTCTTCCTATATTTCGCTCCAGCATGTCTATTTGAACTTTCATTATCTCTAGCTCTACCCACACCAATATTATTCTTCAGCTTCTTTCCTCCCCTTCTACTTTCTTTGAACCTGCCTCTGGCTTCATTAGATCCATCAGAATCACTGTCAGGATCACTAGCATCTACGTTGTTACTGGAATGCCACTCATCATTGTCAGAATGAGCATTCTCTTCATCATCACTATCAATAGACCGCTGTTTAGGATGTGTAGTCTGCCGAAACCTTAAGCCTCTAGTCTCACCATCATAATCACCATTTCTAGAAGCATCTGATCTTCTATATCTTCCACCAAATTCTTCTCTGTTCCAGTATCTAATTCTGCCAAACTCTTCTTTTTCTTTTGCCTCTTCAGCTTCATATTCTTTATCTGCTGCATCCTCTATCTCAGCAATGAATTGGTCTAACTCTTCCTGATCACTATCAACAGGTGGTTTTGATTCTTCCAAACCTTCAGTAGATTCTATTATTGATTGCTTGCCTTCACGGAATACATAAGGACTTCCCTCTTTCTTGTCAATGGCATTAAAGAATGTGGAAGCGACTCTCTGAATGCTGGCCATGGCAGCTGGATCTTCAGAATTTACTCCCATTCGTCGAAGCTGCTGTTCTATTTTCTTTATGTTTAACTTCTGAGATTCAAGAGCTTGCTCAAATCTGGCCTTGAATAAAGCCTGCATACAACAATAGGAACAAATATATTACCTCCAACAGTATCAAGTTCTTTGTATAGTAGGTACATAACTAGGGAACAAATTGATGATTTTTTCAAAAGAGCTAGCAGATTTGAGCAGTTAAGCCTAAAATAGCTATTTTTTCACAGGTCATCATCATGTATGCATAATCAATAAAACCAAAGTATTTTATTTTTGTTACGCCATTAACTGTCCTGAACTTGTTTGAGTTTCACATGATATCAAAAGCAACGTTTCTTTCTCCCTTAGATTCTTTTGGGGAGTTAAGTAATAAAGGTTGGGCAATTGGCTGGGGTGGATAAGGGGGAGTAATCTTACCAATACAGATATAATAAACAGCCACATTTTATTACTTTTCCATGATAATGAACCATATTGGCACCCAGATATCACAGTTCATGATTCTGGAGTTAACCCTTCGACACCTAACCACTACAGGCAAAGAATTGCCTCTGTTTAGAGACAGGCAGAAAATGGTACACTCAAATAAGGATATAACAACACAAGCCTACCTTCCTCTTTGTAAGGGTGTTAATAGGTATCAAATTTTTGGGTTGGCGATAGTTTCTACCACGGAACATAATGATTGTTTTCACATTATGCACATTTATCACAATCCCACCACTCAATCTTGCAAGCATTGCAGCCATTTCTTTTATTTTTTCCTTAGGAAAGTTGTCACAACAAACTTGCACAGTCTCGTGAAACTTCCAATGGAGATGCATATTTTGCACAACTCCTCCAAAGACTCCACGAACTCCAACTGGAACATAGTTCTTATTCCTGAATCCTATTTTTTTATACGCTTGAAGCTGTTCAGGTGTAAAGAGCTCTGGATCATGCCGAGGAGCAGGTAGCTCTGGTAGCTCATACTTCTTGAGTTTTTGTAGAAGCAATGCCACCTTCTTTTTAGCCTGCAAGTGTTGAAAGGTAGGCAATTAAGATATAATTAAATGTTCACATAAAGGGCAGTTGGGCACTACAAAAAAACTAAGTAAAAACTCTATTAGGTACTACAAATGTGCAAACTGTTATCACGATTTGGAATTTTGTGCCATTACATGTATTTGCTACTAACAAAACAACTAAGGTCAAAGAATTAACTAAAACGAAGCAATTTATAGCTAATAGGGAAAAATCATCTATTATCAACCAAACTTCCTTGAGGTATCCCAGTTCCATAATTTTCACACAGATATATGTCATAAGCAATAATGAGCTTGCCCCATTTTACACAGAAATTTAAACTCACGCATCTATGTTATAAACTGATTATGAAAAAAATGGTACTCTAGGAGCATTTACTCGTTTCATTAAAATCACAACATCTAACATGTTTGGTCACTTTTCCAGTTATTTTAATTTTATTTTGGAGGTAAAAAAGAGAGAAATTGACAAATTAAGAGCAATAACAACTTAAAAAGAGCAGGTATACTGGGAATATGAAAAATTCCCTTCACTTTCACATAGAAGCAACATACAAGCATAATTTCTTCTGGGAAATAAAAGAATAGTGTTTAGTACAGTTTTAGACATTTGAAATTAGAATAAATGATTGATGAGGACATCTATACACAGATTTACAAACAACATCATAAATTTGAATGCACATCTTAGACACGTATCACAGCTCAAAACAATAGATAAACTGAAAACATGGATTACAAAACAACTGCCAACATACTCTTTTGAGATTGTAAATGAGTCTCTCCTCCTCAGTCATAAGTTTCTTCTTCAGCTTTTTGGCCCTCCGAATCTCCCTCATAGTCTTACCAGACTCTTTCTGCATTCTCCTTTCCACCTTGCTGCGCATACTCCTTCCTTTCGAAGTTGACATAGCCCGTGATGATGATCCATTCAAAAAATTCAACGGCTTAACATAACAACACACACCAACTTTAAGAATTTTGCTGTGCTCTGCTGTATGTCCTAAAGGTACAACATTTCTGAGCACAAACAAATCACAATCAACTCCTTTTCTTCAAAAGAAGAAAAAACACACAGTGATTGCTGATAAAATTAGATCAGTATGTATACCAAAAGAAATTAGAAAATAAATAAATAAAAGAATTGTTTTTGTGCTTAATCAAAATAAATAAAGTTGACACTGATAGGATTAAAAAGAAAAGACAACGGAAAGAATCAGGTAGAGAAATGAGGGTGAATTATGAAAAGGTATAAACTTTAAGGTGAAAGAGTAAAAGGGGTTTTAGAATTAGTGTTGTAAATGGAGAGAAAGAGGATAAACGCATACTTGGATTGAAGTTGAAGTAGAGAAGAAAGGGACTTGAAGCAATATCTCTGCAGATTTCTGGCACCAAACATTGTTGCTTCGCTCACCAATTCCCACTTCTCATTCTGGTTTCTGAGATGAGTCACTTCGGCAAGGGCAAACAAAAACAGGGTTTTAGAGACTTTGGATATTTCCCAAACGCGCCCTACTTTTTTCTATTTTGTGTTTTTCTTTTTCAGTGTATTTTTCTCCCTTTTTAGATAAATCACATGAAAATGACAAGGCTAATTTGCATATTAAATTGTTATTTAGATTTAAAAAAATAATATCGTATGTAATTGTTTATATTTTTTTTATAAACATTACTGACAAAATACATACTAAAATTTAAATGGACGACAAAATATTACCTTATTTGAATGTTCATATGATATTTTTCTTTAATATTAAAGTACACTAGGGTCGTTTGTATTCTTTCCTCTTCTGCAAAAATAGGTATGCTAGCTTGTTGTGCTAAAGAAGATATACTAATATGAACTCAATCCTGTTTAGTTTTTCCCTCAATGAATGAAGAATATTTAGTTTGTTAATTTTCAATCAGATTAGTTGAATGAGATAGGGGTATAAAGGTTCAAATGGAATGAGAACATTTTAAAAATTGAGGTAAAGTTGAAGAAGGCCAGCTAACCTTGTTCAATTTGAGTAAATTCTTGAGTTGAGATAATAAGTAACTTCACAGTTCAAACCCTGCAATATTTTGAAAGAAAAAGGAAATAAGAGGGTGAGAAATTAAACACAATCAAATACAAGGGATGATTACAAGCATTAAAATTTGACAAATTTACAATTCTGGAAGGAACTTGTTAATTTATTTTTGGCTAAACTTTGGTTTTAAAAAATTAGCGACAACAAAACATGGTACGACCCCAATTTTTCATTCTCCCTTAAATTCAATTTTCCCTTTCATGTGTTAAAATTGAACTTCAGCTAGCCGACACTAGTGTTTCTCATTCTTAGCATGCTTGTTTTTAATATATTGCATAGAATATAATCTTGAATAGTAATATCTACATTAAATTTTAAAGTTATATGTTAATTAAGTGTTCTTCTGCAATTAATTTTAACTATCCACAAAACTATAACTAAAAGAACAATTTAACCCAAGGTAGTCAAAATCGCGTGTTGGATTGTAGAATCGTACGATTCTACGATCTCCATCCATGCTTCCGTGCTAAGTCGGTGCTGGGAACGTGAATTGGTTGAAGCGATGGGATCGTACGTACTGGGTCGTAAACTCGTTAAAGACGTGCTATTCCAACGCACAGAGGAGAAGGCTGTTTGGGCCAACGACCCGCGACCCGACCCGACATCGTCTAAGCTTTTGGAACCCTAAAATTCCATAACTCGTCACTACGCTTCTTCCTTTCTTCTCTGCGAGGCTTTGACGACTACGATTGGTTCCAACAACTGCAATTCGGCTCCGGCAACTGCGTCTCTGTTGTGCGATGGCCACTGCGACTGTGAGGCTACTGCGACTGTGACTGTGAGGCTTCGACGAGTGTGATTAGGTTCCGACGACAATAATTCATTCAGCTCCAGCAACTGGGCTTAGCTTCGGTGACTGGATTGTTTCTGATTTGGTTTGGGATTTTCTGCTTCATGTGCTCTGTTTTTTTCTTCATTATCTTGGCTGCTGCGTGTGATTGGGATTTTGTTCATTTTTTTGCTTCTGTTCTCTATTTTCTGTGCTACTGCTGTCTGCTACCATTAGATAAAATGGCTTCAAGTAATAGTCAAGCTCTTTCTCCTAAGTCATTACCAAAGAATGCACCGGGAAACAAAAGTGATGTAGCATGGCAAGATGGGATTGCAATTGAAGGTACAAGAAAAATTCAATGCAAATATTGTCAAAAAATTGTAAGTGGAGGTGCTTATCGATTGAAGCATCACTTGGCTCAAACAGTCAAAGATGTTGGAGCATGCAAATCTGTTCCGGATGAGGTCAAAAATCAAATGTGGAATTTACTTGTAAGCATGCAAGAAAATTTGAATAAAAAATCAAATTCTTTTGCTAAGAGAGAGACTTTAGATACAAGTGATGGAAGCAAAAGAAAATCAAGTGAGAATGAGGTCACTGGAGGAGGAAATATTTTTAGGAGAAGGACCACTCAAGCAACAATCAACAACATATTCAACAAAACTAGAAGAGAGGAGGCTTGTCAAGCTATTGGAAGGTTTTTTTTATAATAATGCCATATCATTCAATGTGGCAAGAAGTGATGAATTTTCTGTTATGTGTAATTTAATTGCTAGCCATGGTCCTGGATTTAAACCACCAAGCTATCATGAAATTAGAGTAAAGTACTTGAAAAAGGAAATAGAGTTAACAAAGGAGATATTAGAAGAACATAAAGCTGAATGGAATTCTGTTGGATGCACATTAATGACTGATGGGTGGACTGATAAAAGGAGGAGAATAATATTAAACTTCTTGGTGAATAGTCCTAAAGGAATTATTTTTTTGAAGTCTATTGATGCATCTCATATAGAAAAAATAGCTGATAAAATATTTAAAATGATTGATGATGATGTTGAAGAAATTGGTGAGAAAAATATAGTCCAAGTTGTGACTGATAATGCAGCAAATTATAAGGCTGCAAGGGAGATGTTGATGCAAAAAAGAAAACACTTGTATTGGACCCCTTGTGTAGCACATTGTATTGATTTGATGTTTGAGGACTTTTAGAAGAAGATACAGATTCATGAAGAGACAATTCCAAAAGGTAGAAAAATTACAACCTACATCTATTCAAGGACAGGTCTTATTTCTCTACTGCAACATTTCACCAAAGGCAAAGATTTGATAAGGCCAGGAATTACTCGTTTTGCTACATCTTATTTGACTCTAAGGTGCCTACAAGAAAATAGAGCTGCTTTGATAAGAATGTTCACATCCAATGAATGAAAATCCTCTAAGTTTGCAAAGGATGGGAGAGTTATAGAAGAATTGATTTTGGATAAAGAGTTTTGGAAGAATATAATCACTTGTTTGAAGGCAGCATTTCCTCTTATCAAAGTTCTTCGAATGGTTGATTCAGATGAGGAAACTATGGGCTTTATTTATGAAGCAATGGATCAAGCTAAAGAGAATATTCAAATTGCTTTCAATGGTGTTAAGAAAAGGTAACTAATTATAATTACTATCAAATTAAATTAGTCTTTATTTTGTGATCTATGTTGTATTGTATATTGAATCTTTGTTGTTTACTCTTTATCAGTTATGTACCTATATGGAATATCATAGATGAAAGATGGGATAAATAGCTCCATAGGCCTTTGCATGCTGCAGGCTATTTTCTTAATCCTAAGATGCACTATAGTCCTAAATTTAAGGATGATCTTGAAGTTAAGCGCGGACTATATGATTGTTTGACAAGGATGGTCTCTGATCAAGATGAACAATGTAAAATTGATTGTCAACTTGATTCATTTAGAAAGCGAGCTGGTAATTTTGGTAGTCACTTGGCTACAAATACTATTGATATGCGACTGCCAACTGATTGATGGATGTCTTATGGAGATGAACATCCTGAGCTTCAAAGATTTGCTATTCTAATACTAAGCTTGACATGCAGTTCTTCTGGATGTGAACGTAACTGGAGTGCCTTTGAGATGGTAAGTAGAATTTCTTTTTTCTAAAATTATGTACTAGGCTAGCCAACTATTTTTTTGTATCTTAAATTATAATTTAATATATTATTATTTGATGGGTGCATACTAAAAGAAGAAACCGTTTGAAGCAAAATACAATGAATGATGTGGTATTTGTTATGGCAAATTCAAAATTGGCCAAGAAGAAGACAACTAAGAGAGTGAAGGATCTACACATAAATGTAGATGATATTCCATCTGACAATGAGTGGATAGTGGAAAATAATGATAGAGGAAATCATGAAGATTTGGGCTAAGAAGACAATTTGGAAGATGAGGACATTGAGGTTGATACTCTTAATGAAGATGAGAACTTGGATTTAGATCAAGGTTCAAATCAAGATGTTGGTGATGTTCCTAATATAGGCAATTTAGATGATGAAGGAGATGATGGACCAAATGAAGAAGATGGGCCAAATGAAGATGATGAAGGAGATGACGATTTTTTTATTATCAAAATATTTTAGATATGATAAAATAGATATTTAAAGTTTGAATATTGATTTTGTATTTGGTTTGGAACTTTGGAATATGTTTATGTTGGACATGTTTTTAATATTCATCTTTTAAAATACTATGGTTTGAATTGATGTTTTTATTTTCTTCCTATTTATACTATTTTATATGTATATATACAATTTTGTAAGATCTTACGTTCCGTGTTACGATTCTACGAGTTACGATCCTGAACCCCCTCTCCGATCTACGTAAAATCTCGATTTTGACTACCATGATTTAACCTACTATAATGAACAAAGAGTAAAGACATAGGAAAATATGACATATTCATGAGATTGAGGCCGTACTCATGCACTCTTTCACCACAGTGTTAAAACACATCTTTTTCACAATAACATTGAAGAGTATATTTTGAGAGAAATAAGAAGAATCATAATTACACAAGTGTGTATTATGCTTGTGATGTGAGCAACCTTTTCATAGAATATGCCAAATGTCAATAAAGTGACATTTTGAACATTACAAGATTCATTTATTTGGATTTTGGGGTGCATAAAAATAGTATGAAATGCTGAAGAGTCCAAAAAAATAAAGTGAAATTCTTCAGAACCCATTGCTTAACTTGCTACACAGCAGAAGTCAGTAAGAAAAGGAATGAACAGGACATGACACTCGTACAAAATCTCCAATTACATTTGTTTCAGGTCATAGAAGAACCATTGAAAGAAACAAGCAGCGGTTTGTAAAACATATCAAAAGAATCTCAATAACACTGGGGGAGGGGGGACAGGCATTATACCTATCTTCACTTGAGGAATTCTCGTTGCCAAAAACAAGCCCAATAACTACCTGCACAATATTTGATTAATCAAGCAATTACTTAATTTATTCATAAACAATAATAAATCACGATAGTTTCGAGTAGCTCTCTACTAAATGAATGCACTGAAACTAAGATAATTAACTCGAACTAGAAAATCTACTAAATTAATTTCAAAATTATACCTTGGAAC